TGGTTGCCTTGGGTTATGGGTAGGGCACAGAAAAGAATGAAGAGAATATTACATGGATTGATGAAGGCGTTCTATATCTCAATTAGGGTAGTATGATTACAGGGAAGCACTGTACCCTGAAGGATACATTTAAAATCTATAAACAAAACTTCAACGCAGGTAGTTTTGTTCTTTTTTAAAGTTATTTCTGGAGAATAGAACTGGTCAAGGTGGGGCAGATGATTGGCAGTTTCATTAAACATCTTTCTGTGCTATTTGTTTTTCAAATCACATGCATATACTTTATACTTTTTAATTTAAAATGTTTGGGCTGGGGATGTAGCTCAGTGGTGCCATGCCTGTCTGGCAAGTGCAAAGTCCTGAGTTTCATTCCTGGTACCAAAGAAAAGAGAAAAAGGAAAAAAACGAGCCAGGCATGTTGGTGCACACCTGTAATCCCAGCCCTTGGGAGGCTGAGGCAGGAGGATCACGACAAGTTCAAGGTCGGCTTGAGCTACATAGTAAGTTCAAGGCCAGCCTGAACTACATAGTTAGATCCTGTCTCAAAAAAATAAAAATAAAAATAAAGTATTATCACAAATACAGATTGTAAGATTTCTTTTATTCTCAGACATACAGTATGACACACTTAAAATTGCTTTAAATTTTCCAAATGACTGTTGTATTTTACCTCTCTGCATTTTAATCATCTTCAATTGTAAATTGGGGAAACTAACAATATAAACCTTACAAGTTTACTTAAGTACTGTAAGTACCCATTACATTAGAAATGGAGGGGGAAAAAAAAAGCAGCAAGGTGCAGTGGTACACACCTATAATCCCAGGACTCTAGGAATCCCAAGACATGAGGATCACAGGTTTGAGCCCACCTGGGCCAACTTAAGTGAGACCATGTCTCAAATAAATACAAAAAACGGCAGGCCTAGGTTTAGCTGGTGGCACTCTGGGAGACTGAAGCAGGATTATCTCAAATTCAAGCCCAGCCCGGGGCAATTTAGCAAGACCCTGTCTCAAAAAAGGGTTGGGAATAGTGCAAAGGCCTTAAAATGAATCCACAGTACTGTTAAAAGTAAAATTAAAAAATAAAAAAGTTGAAAAACATCAGTCCTCTTTCCCTTTCTATAAATGAATTACTTAAGACATAAATGCTGGGTAGAGGGTACAGAAGGTGTAATTAAAAAAAAAATACATGGCAAGTGGGCCAAGGATTTAGCTCAGTGGTTCCACTGCCTGCCTTGCAAGTGCGAGGACCTGAGTTTGATCCCCAGCACCAAAAACCAAAAACCAAAACAAAACAAAAAATACATGGCAAGTGTTTAAATTTTTTAAATTTCTTACAGTAAAAGACACTACCATTAATCTCCCTCAAAATACTCCCCCCACTTCAAAACACTTATCCCATCATTCTGGACACCTTCTGAAGCAGTTCTGGAAGTTCCCTTTCATGAATGTCTTTAGTTGCACTGATGTAGCTGTCCTGATGTCCTGAATCTATTCAGAAGATTTACCTTTCGTGGTCATTTTGATTTGGGGAGGAGCCAAAAGTCTCATGACGGTAGATGCAGCAAGTGAGATATACCATAATGTTTTTACTAGCTCGTCAAGTCTGTTGGATGGTACTAGGCAGCACCATTCACCGTATCTTTTAATCACACCTTGCAATGTGTTGTTTACTGTAATAAAATTTTAAAATTCAAACACAGACCATGTTATGTACATGTGTCAACTCCCACAATGAATGTAGTCAATATGTACTGCAAATAGGTACGAATAAAAATTTTAAAATCAGAAACAAAGACAAGATAAACACCCATTGTATTTATTTTTTTCTGACAGAATCTCACTATGTAGTGTAGTAGGCTGGCCTTGAACTCACAGCAATCCTCTTGCCTCAGCCTCCTGGCACTGGGATTACAGGTCTGCATCACTATGCCTGACTACCACACGATATATTTTATGATTGGCCCTTGCAGCTTAGTGGTACAGCATTTGCCTAGCATATATTATATATGCTATGCAAGGCCCTGGGTTCAACAACAGCGCTGCAAAAATAATGTATAAATAAAAACATAAATGCTATTTATTGTAATAGTTTTAGGTATAATCTTTCACCATAGCTTTTGCTCAAAACCACACCACCATTTGTGTGCTATCTACTTATTCTTTGGGGCCTTCATCTTTTTAACAAAAATAATACTTGCTTTAGCTGATAATCAAAGTGAACAAAGGTACTCAACTCCATCATGAACACATTTGAAAATTCCATTAACGAAAAAGCTCAAGTAATACTTAACACTAGAAACAGGTTTCTATACATGCCTCTAATCTGACTGAGGCAGGAGGATTGCCTTAGTTTGAGACCAGCCTGGGTTGCATAGTGAGTTCAAAACCAGCTTGACGTAGGGGAAGAACAAAAAGGGAAAAGAAAAAAATGTGAGAGAATGAAAAGATGAAAATAAAGCCTTTGTAGATGGGGAGGGGAGGAGGCGGTGAAGGGAGGGCAGAGGTAAGGGGAAAAAAATGAGAATCAAGACTTGCCATGTAAAGGTACATGATCCCAACAATGAATGTAACTGTACTGTATCCCTAAATGTACCAATAAACTCAATTTAAAAAAAAAAAAAAAAAACAGCTTGAACTACAAAGCAAGACCCTGTCTCAAAAAAAGAAAAGAAAAGAAAAGAAAAAGGTCTCTAAAATGGAATATAAAGAAAATTTTACCAAATTATTTAAAAATCCAAGAAGCCAGGCATGGTGGCTCATGCCGGTAATCCCAGCACTTGGGAGGAGGCTGAGGCAAAAGGATCGCTGTGAGTTCGAGACCAGCCTGGGCTACATAGTGAGTTCCAGGTCAGTCTCAACTACATAGAGAGACCCTGTCTCAAATAAACAAACAAACAAATAAATAAACAAATATCCAAGGAACATTCTTTTTAAGAGTACTAATGATCAAGATGAATGTAATTATTTGGTATTGTATACATACACTAATAATATTTAAAAAAGCAGCCATTAAAAAAAAAATGGAAAACCAGCAGGGCTTGATGGGGCAAGTTTGTAATCCCAGTATTCTTGAAGGCTAAGGCAGGAGGATCACAAGTTTGAGCCCAGCTGGGCAATTTACCAACTTAGTGACACCGGTATCAAAATAACAAATAAGGGCCAGGGATTTAACTCAGTGGTTCCACCGCCACCACCTGCCTTGAAAGCACAAAGTCCTGAGTTCCATCTCCACTAACATAAATAAATAAATAAATAAAACAAAATAAAAATAAAAAAGGTCTGGGAATGTTGCTCAGTATGAAGGCCCACCCTAGGTTCAATCCTCAGCACTGTAAAAAATAATAAAGAACCATCCCTCATTTGTCTTAAAGGTGCAAGGCAGCAGCTATAGATCTGCAACACTTCCCAGGCTTCAGCCATTTATACATCTCTAATTTTTTTCAAATAGTCACTTGACTCTGACAATTGTTCTTCCTCTTCTGGTTTTCTCCCAAGTTGCCTTTCTCTCCTGCTCACCTCCGTCCTGTTCTTTCCACTGCCTTATTCATTCAAGGTAACTAACATTTTATCAGGCACCTAAAACTTGCCAGCACTGCTACATGCGTGGGGGATATTACTTGTTGAGGAAAGAAGGGAAGAATGAAGAATAGTCCAGGCAGTGGGCAGAAGAAAAAAAAAAGCCAAGCGCCTGATGGAAAGCAAGAATTTACACTATATTATAAATTTAACTTTTAAAAAGCTGGAGAAGAAGAGATCAAGTGGGAATATGCTGAGATGGGAATGGCTGTAGGAAAGTCCGTTGAGTGAGTAGTCCAGGCAAGAAATGGTGCCAACGTTGAGAGAAGCAGGTCAATATGGAAATAAAACGTACTTCACCTGCTGAAGGATTAGACATCCACAGTGATGGAGACTGTCGGAAGAAATGACTCCTTAATTTCAATATATTCATTGAGTTATAGACACCAAGTGGTCTGGACGTAACAGATTTGCTCTGGGATATGCTGAAGACATATTTAGAAAGAAGCCTGACTTTTACAGTAAACTGGCTCAGCACAAAGAAATTAGTGAACAACTGACATCTACAAGGTAATGAAAATTGCCTTTGTGGGGAGAGGGCCTAGAGAGAAGAAACAAAAATTTGTACAGAGGAGTCTGCAAATAAGAACGGGGAAAGATCAGCCAAGCTGTGCCACAGAATTTAAGAAAGTGTTGGCCGCCTGTAATCCCAGCACTCAGGAGGCTGAGGCAGGAGGATCGCTGTGAGTTTGAGACCAGCCTGGGCTATACAGTGAGTTCCAGGCCAGTCTCAACTACACAGAACTGAAGTGTCTGTCGGACTTGGCGATAAGAAGCCCACGGGTTAACTTCAGTCAGTTCTTTCTGTAGTGATTAAGAGAATCTCCGACTAAAGGAGGACTAAAGAGCTAAGTGGAGGTAAGGAAATGAAATAGCTGAAAACAGACAACTAAAAAGTTTGTGGATAGGGGAAGGGAAGAAGACAAGAGTGGCCGCGGCAGGGAGAAGGGGGGGTGTTTATTTTGTTTTGTTTTCTTAAGAGAAACGTGAATATATGTAAAAGACGACGAAAGAAACCTTGAGAAACGGGTGATAATCGGAGACAGTCCCTCACCCTGGCTGCTCCCCCAAGACCCCCGCGATCTCCCCCTCCAGTGTTCTCGCCCCATCTCCCGCGGCTCCTTCCCCGTTCCGCACTTTGCACGCCCTGGGCCACCGCTACCCAGGCCGCTCCCAGGTTTCTCCTTACCGCAATGGCCCCTTCGCTCAGCTGGCCAGCCATGGCTCCGCAGCCCAAATCCCGCGCTGACGATCCTCACTGACCCAGCTTCACCACCGGGCGGGGTGGTGTCCAGCGGGATGCACCGCGATTGGCTGGAGGACTTGTGCGCGCCTCCCCCGCCCCCGACGTGCACTAGGCAAGAGGGCGGGCCTAGATGCTGAGCAGCCACCATATTGGCAGAGGCGCGGCGAGTTGGTCACGTGACCCTCCGAGACCCGGTTGGAGGCCTAGTGGCGGGACGCGGAGCACAGTTGCGCGCCAAGTGGGGCGCAGTTGTCCGGGAGCTCGGGCGGCCAGTTCCGGAATCTTTCTGTATGCGCTCTGGGAGTCATACCCGCCGAGGCCTTGACACTTGGCTAGAGTAGTATCTCACAGAGCATTCGGAGGTGTTTTCTGATAACGCCACTGCTAAATATAGTCAAAGAAGTGGCCTGGTTCCCTCAATAGCCCCGTGCAGGCCTTCCGCCTGTTCCAGGCCGGGAGTTTGACCCAGTGTCGTCTCTGTCGGTAAATAAGGTGTCGGTAAATAAGGGCCGGCCAGTAGAAGGAGAGCACAGCCTAACAAGGAGGAGTCTCCACGTGAGGAGCCCGAACTCAAGGTAGAAGCGATGGGGCCCCACGTGTGCTGGAATCACAGGTGGAAAATCACTTTGTCAAGCATGTGCGGGAATTTGCCAGATGGACTCCAAGTGAGAGTCAGTGCTCCTGGTAGGACAAATGGCCTATGCAAAAACACTGAAGAGATGAAATTTGGCAAGCTGGCCATAGCAATGAGTATACACCTTCCTGTTGTGGGATACAGAGGAAGAAAAGAAAAAGTGAGCGAATAATGTTGAATTTGTGTTAGACTCTCATACAGGGTAGGAGAAGCACTGATGAGTGTAAGGCAGAGGACTGAGGTCTGTCTCAGCGTGGAGGATGGGTTGGAAAGAGAGGATATGGAGACTCGTTATGGTACTGGAAAGAATGCCAAGAGATGGTGAAGATTCAGAGTGATCTGGGTATTGAAGCAGAAATCTGAGCTGTGTAAGAGAAATATTTAACTTCATTGCTAGGGTGAACGACAAAAATCTAGGATGACTTGTTCAACTAGAGTAAAGGTGATCCAGAAGAACCTGTAGGAGCTATATATATAGTAATCTGATTCATATTTGTGTAATCAACACAACTTTAATTCCTAGAACCATGTAGGATTTTAATAAGTATTTCTGAATGAAAGGATTTTTTTTTGGTACCGGGACTAGAACTTAGGGCCTTGAATAAAAGGACGTTGAGTAAATTGAGGTGACAAAATAGATCTTTCAGCCATCAACAACTATAGAAAAAGACCACAAGCATTGATTTTATTGCTTTACACTTGCTTCCTTGGATGAAATCTTGATCCTGTGGAAGTGTACTTCTGTAGAAATCTGAATTCCTGTTTTTTTATTTACTTCCTAGATTGAAAGTAGCATGGATCTTCCTGTGGATGAATGGAAATCCTACCTACTTCAGAAGTGGTCTTTACTCCCAAAGTCGGCTCAGGCCACAATTTCTATTGCAGAGACTTTGAGTGAAATCTTTCTTCATTCTTCTTCATTTCTTCAGTAAGTGAGTGGAAGGTTTTACCAGAGAAATTTTGATCTAAAAAATATTCTGTTGTTATTTGCTCTGATGTAGTATAATGGAGAAGTTAACTACAGATATTTATTATATTCTGGGGCATTTTAGCAGTTCTTGCTGTTTTTACTTTTTTTAACTTTTAATAACTTCAAATATAGAACAGGTAGGGATGACTATTTTTGCTTTTTCAGTGTCAACATTGTATTTCAGTAATTCAGTGCCTTGCTATAGTCACTAGATTTTAAGCCTGCCATTTCCTGAAGGATATAATGAAGATTTTTTTTTAATTGTTCATAGAAGTGCATAGAAGCATTTCAGCTAGGCATGGTGGGACAGACCTGTAATCAATCCTAGCAGTCTGAGAAGCTGAGGCAGGATCACAAGTTTGAGTCCAGCCTGGGCAATTTAGCAACTTATCAAGGTCCTGTCTCAAAATAAAAATGGTCTGGGGATGTACCAGTGATCCTAAGTGGGAATGTGTCTGGCAAGTTCAAGCAACAGCAAGAAAGCTAGTGTGAGTGAACAGAGTAAGCCAGAGGGAGAAGTAATGTCAGAGACGCAATGGAGTGTGTATGGGACTGGAGGAAAGCAGTTGGCACAGATCACGCCAGCAAGGAAATGGGGACCTCAGACCTGCAATCACTAGGAGCTGGCTTCTGCCAATAACTTGAAAGCTTGAGAGCAGTCTTTCCCATATCTTCCATATAAGCAGTCACTTTGACTTTGGCCTCTTGAGACCCTAAATCAAGCCCACCTGTACTTACAACTCGTGGAACTGTAAGGATTGTAAGTGGGTGTTGTTTTAAACTTAAATTTGTAGAAATTTGTTGACCAATAATAGAAAACTAAATGATAAGGTTTTGAGAGAAGAGTGTTACCATCTGATAATATTGTAAAACTGGTTAGCAAACTACAGCCTGCTGGGTAAACCCATCCCACTACTTGTTTTTTTTTGTATGGCCCACAACTTGGAATGATTTTTACAGATAAACATTTACAGTTGACTTGACAATAAAGAGCACTGACTTTGGACCCTAATTAAGCAAATAATATCCATCTCTTTAAAAAGGATTTCATTTTTTTTCCTCATTAATATACTTGTATTACAAAAAATTGTACTCCATTATTGTTACATTTTGAATTCTGTCAAAAAAACTTTTTGGAAACTTGTTTTTGTCATATAAATAGCTCTGTAATGTCCTTGATTTTGCTTCTTGGTTTACAAAGTCTAAATACTTACTCGTCCCTTTATAGAGGTTTGCTGACCTGTTTCATTTATTTGTTTATCTTTAGTTTGGTACCTGGGATAGAACTCAGGTCCTTGCTCTTGCGAGACAGGCGGCAGCACCATTAAGCTAATTCCCTGGTCCTACCTCTGTTTTAAAGGATTGCTCCAACTTGTGTTGAGGAGAGATGGCAGTGGAAGTGAAGAGGACTTTAGGGTTATTGTGTTAACTCAGGTGAGAGATGAGGCAATAGTAACTTGGGCCAGGTGGTATTACTGACGATAGAAAGAAGCAATTGGTTTGTGAATTCTGCAGATTTAATAGGATTTCCTGACAGGTGGGATATGGGGTGTTAGCAAATGTGAGAAGTAAAAAGCAACTGCTATATAGGGTTTTAAGCCATGATAACTGAAAGTGGAAGGAAGATATTGCCATCACCTGGCAAAGTTACAGATGGGGCTGTTTTAAGAAGGAAGATTAGGGATTTTAAGTTTCATACATTTGTTAGACACCCAAATAGAGATGTCTAAATAAGTCTGGAGTTTAGAAGAAAAGCCTTGGATAGAGAAACAAATTTGGGAGTTGTACATGGTATTGACAACTATGAAACAGAACAAATTCACCAAGTAAGAAAGTGTAAATATTTATTACATCCTATGCACATTAATATTTTCTCTTCAATTTATCTCATTTTAAAAATACTAATCAGAAACCAGTAAAATTAATTTCATGACCCATTGAGTCGTGACCTGCAGTTTGAAAAATAATGTCTACAGCTCTAGAGGATCGGTGGATTTCCTTTACAGAATCTGCCCCAAATGGTGGGGAACTTCTGATGAAACTTTGGATAATGGGCATCTTCCAAAAGAGAAATTGGTAAGGGCTGGGGATTTAGCTCAGTGGTTCTGCCGCCTGCCTTGCAAGGGCAAGGACCAGAGTTTGATCCCTGGTACCAAAAAAAAAAAAAAAAAAAAATGTTCACCAAAAGATAAATTGGTATGTAAAACAGAAAAATGTAAAAATCAACAAGAATCACTTGAAGTTTAGTGCGCTGACAGTTATAGAAGTAAAACAAGAAGCAGCTGGGGATTTAGCTCAGTGGTTCCACTGCTTCGCAAACACAAGGTCCTGAGTCTGATCCCTGGTACCAAAAAAACAAGAGCATCTGTTCTGGGTATGGTGGCACATATCTGTAATCTCAGCATTCAGGGTAGTTGAGTCAGGAAAATTACAGCTTTCCGGCTTAGCCTGCACAATTTAGACCCTATCTCAAAATAAAAAATAAATAACAAAAAAGGTAAACCCAGCACTCAGGAGGCTGAGGCAGGAGGATCGCTGTGAGTTTGAGACCAGCCTGGGCTTCACAGTGAGTTCCAGGTCAGTCTCAACTACATAGTGAGACCCTGTCTCTAAAAAATAAATAGATACATAGATAGATAAATAGATAAATGGCCTGGGGAAATGCAAATCAAAACTACATTGAAGGCCAGGGATTTAGCTCAGTGGTTCGGTGGCCTGCCTTGCAAGCTCAAGGACCCGAGTTCAATCCCCAGTACCAAAAAAAACCAAAAAACAAAAACTACATTGAAGGGCCAAGTATGGTAACACATGCTTGTAATCCCAGCACTTGGGAGGCTGAGGCAGGAGGATTGCTATGAGTTTGTGGGCATCCTGGGCTACATAGTGAATTCAAGACCAGTCTGGACTACACAGTGAAACCCTGTCTCAAACCAAAAAACAAACTACATTGAGATTTCTTCTTGTTCCAGTCAAAATGACTCTCAACAGGAATTTTTAAAATGGCTGGCAAGGATTGGGAGGGTGCTCTCTATGCGACTGGTGGGAATGTAAATTAGTACAGCCGCTGTGGAGATCAATATGAAGGTTTCTCAAAAAACTAACAATAGAAAAAAATCCTTAAAAATAGAACTACCATTTGATCTAGCTATAACACTTCTTAGTATATTTAAAGTCAGCATACTGTAAGGACACCTGCATACTCATGTCTACTGCAGCACAATTCACAATAGCCAGTATATGTAACCCACCTAGATGCCCATCAACAGATATATGGGTAAAGAAAATGTGATATATACACTGTTTGGCTTGTGTCTTGATGTCTCCACAAAGCCTCATGTGGTAATAGGTGGAGCTTTTGAGAGGTGACTGGGTTCTAGAGCATATGACATTGGGATCAAAGGTGTGTGATTACTAAATCAGTCCACTGATTGGGTTGATATAGTTCTGGGAGTAGATAATGATAAAGCCCAGCCTGGGTGTGAATGCTACCTGCCCTAAGGGTGAGTAGCCTAGAAAAAAATCTAAGGAATAGAAAGAGGGCTTCTGTGGTCACTGCTGCTGCTTCTGCCTTCTGCCTTCCATGAACTGTTTCTCCCCTGTGATGCTCCTCTGCCATGCCCCCCTGCCTTGGAGCCAGCCCACTATGAACTGAAACTTCTGCAAACTGTGAACTAACTAAACCTTTCCTCCTTTAAGTTTGCATTTTGGGTATTTTGTTTCAGCAGTGAGAAAAGTTACCAAGACATTTACAGTACAGTATTTTCTAGCCACAAGGAAGAACGAAATTCTGTCTGGTTTTTCACTGTTCCTTTGGGTGTGGCTCTCCTAAACTTTTCGTTGAGAGAAAAATCAGAGTTGTACCAAGTATTAATATAACTATAGCCTAAGGATTGAGGTGCCTAGCATGTGTAATGCCCTCAGTTCAATCCCTAGCACTGCAAAAAAACCTGAAACAAAACCTTGTAACCATACCCTGATCCAACTCAGTTCTTATCTGAATGAAGATAGGCCAGCCATTTATCATGTCTGCTTAATATAACATTTTCATGATGGAAGATAATAGCTAGCTTCATTGTGTGTTCTATATGCAGTGTCAAAATACAGTTAAGAATTATCAGATGTGCAAAGGTACAAATAAATGACCAGTAATCACTGGACATGGTGGCACACATCTATAATCCCAGGACTCGGGAGGCTGGGACAGGAGGATCACCTGAACTACATAGTGAGTTTAAGGCCAGCCTGAACTACATTGTAAGATCCTATCTCAAAAAAATAAAAAATAAATAAAATCACCAGTAATCCAGAGAAAAATAAACTTTGGAAGTAGACCAATTGATGTCCACATATAGAGGTTAGTAGACAAGGATTAATATGTGCAAAGGCCCTGAATTCAATCCCTAGTACTGAAAAAAGTAGATGAAAAGATGGACTTCAATGAATTGAAATCTATAAAAAATAATTGAGAACCAGGTGTAGTGTTATCTGCTCATACTCCTAACTACTAAAGGGGTTAAGGCAGAAAGATTGAGCCCAAGAGTTTGAGGTCAACCTGGGCAACATAGCAAGATTCCATCTCAAAAACAAAACAAAAGATCAGATGTACTTTCTAGAACTGAAAAATACTTCTAACAAATTAAGAACTCAAGTCTTAAGACTAATAGCAAATTGAACACAATGGAAATAGAATTAGTAATTTGGCTTACAAACCAAGACAAAATAAAATTAAACCCAGGGAGAAGACACAATTGCAAAATCTTACACAATACATGAGAGATATGTGGAACACAAATAGTTCTAACATGATTATAGTCTCAAAAAGGAACATTTGAGGGCACAAACATTTCAAAAATATGACTATACACTTTCTAAAATGTTTGAAAGATACAAATTTATAAATTCCAGAAGCTCAGCAAACCCTAACCTCTGTAAATAAAGTCACCCCTAGGGAAATCAGA